ACGAAAATTAGCCAAGCCTTCTTTCAGGGGGGTCGTGTCAAGTAAAAGTGTGCTATAGTGTGCTATTTTTAAAATACCAGGACCGGTATTTGGAAGTGTCTAAACTATAAAACGACGCCATCTACTGGCCATGATGAGTAAAACCATCATAAATACCGTTGTCAAGACGCTGCGTCCTTGGTTGCTAAAATAAAATGAAACCGAGAAGATGCATTCTCTGCGGAAACAGCTCGGAAACTAACAACGACATTTTTTAAATTGTATCTCCTTCTAACAGAGCACGATGGTGGTATAATTTTGTGAGTTGTTCTAAATATTTGACTTGTTTGTTTTTGTTGTTGTTGTTTTTTTGCCGAAATGTAATAGATTGAGACAAGTGACTTTTTGAGGAGCGCACACGCAAAGGTAGCAGCTAACAGCTAAACTGATGTAGTAATGTGCGCTACATTCTCACAATCGTGCCGTTCCAACTGTCTTTTTAATCCTTGTGTTGCTTAAAAAATATTGTATGTAATAAGTATGTAATACGTGTTTATCAGGTCGAAGGTGACACCAAGGACCAAGAGACATATGACGTATTTAAGTAATATAAAAAATGGCAGAACCCATGTTCTTCAAGAGAACTTCTGTCATTCGTATCCTTTATCAACAATATTCTAGCATGTATAATATTAAGTTTTGGTAAATACACGACACAAATTTGGCATATTGTTGTTATTTCTAACATTTTCCTTAAAATTCCCTACTTTAGAATTGACATGTAGTGACATTGTATCATTGCCATGAAGAAACAGCTTTCTTAGCCACTCTTGTCAGAAACCACAGGTTCGGAGCTGCTGGAGGCCTCCAACATGAGAGACAACTGCTGGTGGAGGAGCAGAGGTTATGTAAAGCCAGAGCTCGCAAGCTTTTCCTGGAAACCAATCGTCGCAGGAAGTAAGTTGTAATCTATAATTAATAACGTGGCCTGTTTGCGTACAGTGTGTTACTGTGTTATCACTGTGTTATCAGTTGGGTCTTTTTTTAACTTTGTGACCCAGTTAAGATATCAGAAGACATTGGTTCAAAATGAAAGTGAATACGCCTGTTCGTCCTGATTGTAGTTATCTACTGTATGTTACACTGGGAACTGCTGTTCCCAAACAAAGCTGCTGGTCCAGTGGATACAAACAAAACCACAATGGAAGACAATGGTTATTTTAATCAAAAATGTGAAGTGACATGTTGCTTTTTTTAGCATTCCTGAAGAGGTGTCAAAAATAATGTTGAACTTGTTTGACCCTGTTCATGTTATTGTTGTCTGACTGTATGAACCCACCGTTAAGCTGTAGATTTAATTTATTAATGACCATGTTGACAGCCACGGTCTAGGAATAGACTCAGGTTTCTGTATGTACAAACATCAGCAGACAGGATATGCTCGTGGTAAATGCCATGTCATGTGAGTGTGCTGTTCTTTTGTTTGTGGTGTAGGGCACTGGAGGAGAAACGAAGGCAAATGGACATTCAGGACCAGCTGTTACAAGAGAGCGTCCTACAGCAACGCAGACAAAGAATTCAGGATGCGACGGAGCGCTTCCAAAAAGGCCATCTACCTCCATCACAGCGACAAAGTTGGTTATGTCTCATTGTTTTTGGAGTTGAAGATAAACTGTAAAATTATTTATTTATTTTTCAAATATAACTTGAAAAATGTCCAGCCAGGCCTAAATAGAAAACACATTTGTTTTAATGAAAAGAGCTTCACAAGACTAAATACTGGCTAGAAATTTAATAGCTAAGTTACCTAAATAATATTTTAATGTTATTAAACATATGAATAAAAATTAAATAGCAAAGACTAAAGACTGTCTATTTGTCCTACTTGTGTTCCAGCTTTTAGAAAAAATGTCCCCACTATCGAAGATGCGCTCAGTAAAATTCAAGGCACCCTGACCTCACACACCCAGCAGTTGTCTTTCCTGTCCAGCAACCCCCACATTGTTAAGTAAGGAAATGTTTGAGTAATCGTCAAATCATTCTATGAGAGAGAAATAAGATAGGACTCTTAATTTTAATATATACGTACTGTTTGGTATACCCTTTACCGGTGTTTAGCGAGTTAAGAAAAAAAAAATTTTTTCCTTTTCTAGAAGTTCAACTCCCTTCTCAAGACCCTCCACAGTTTACAAACCCCCCACTTACCCTGCAGTCTCAGCTGTGGAGGCCTTCACCAAACTGCTGCAGGAGCAGAGCTTGGCTCGGTTCAAGAACCGTCAAGAAAGTGACGAGATGCAGGTGAAAGAGCAGAATTATAGTTCACCAGTATTGGATGTTTCTTGTTTTTGTACACACAGAGATAAAAATACCCATAAATAATAAATAAAAAGTAGAACGTCAGAATTCCTTTCCCAGCTTTTTTTTTTTTTAACTCTGAAGATTTCATTCATCATCTTTAACTTTTTTCACCTTTTCTTTCAGGTCTAATTAATATAAATATCAAATGAATTAGTAGCCAGTTTGCACGGTAACTTCAATTTTGAGAATACATTTTTGTCACTTTTCGATCATATTCTTCTTTCAGCTGTCCTCATCTGGGTACACCACAGTGGAACATCTGCCTCTTTCTTACCCTCTCCCCAGCCTCCTTGACTTTGATCTCCATTTACATTTTTACAACACCCTTCTTTCAGTAACAGTGGAGATATATTTTCTGTCACGTTTCAGCAGCTTTGTATTTTTAAATCAAAGTGAAATACACAAATGTTTCAATAACAGTAAATTAAAGTAATGGTGACATAGCATTAAACATTAATTCTTGTATTTATTTTTTTAAACTTGTTTCTTTTTGTTCCAGTTCATACTTCAAGAGAAGCAACTGTCTGCATCACAAAATAACTCTGAGAGTTGTACATCTGAAAGCCCATTAAGTAAAGACAGCTTGGAGATGGAAGACCTTCGACCCAGAATTAACAATCAGCCAGGTTCATACTTGTCATTCATGTCTGATACAGAGAAGTCCCACAAAAACCTGGAAAGCCACGGGGATTTGCATAAAACATCCGACTTGACTGAATCTTTGGCTCTTCTTCTTGATGATGGTGTTGCACAATCTGAAAACCCTGAGCAGAAAAAGTTTGACAAATCTGGAGGAATCTGGAACAGTAAGATGCACATCCTCACACCTTCCTCCCCAGGGTGTGAGTCTAAAGCCCACTCTGGTCCAAACAACTGTAATTTATTAATGCTGTGTGAAATTATAGATGCCGAGCACTTTGAAAACAGCCCCAAAGGACCCCCGTTCTTTACCAACAACGGGAACTGCAAAGAGTTGTTGTACAAAAATCCCCTGAAGGCAAGTGTTTTCTCAGAAGATAGCAAAATGGAAAATAACTCACAAAAAGGAAATGCTCAGCAAACAGGACAGGCAGGTCACCGTCTGTCATCCCGCAGTGAACCTTGTTCCTTCATAAACAACCTTAATAACTGTTTAAACTCAGAGCTGAAGTTTGTCAAAGCCAACAACACAGCACAGCTGCAACGTTCCTGCTCGTCTAACCTTCCACTGGACGTTCCAAAATGTTTCGATTGCACCGAGAACAAAGAAATGTTTCCACTTTCAGCTAAGAAATCCCATTCAGCACATGGTGTCAGATTAATTAAAGGGATTCTCAAAAAGACCAAATGTATGCCTGAAGAATCAGCATGTGCATCTGAACAGGCACATTTAATTTTTGCAAAACAGGTGGCTTTAGCCATCAGAGATAGTGTGGAATTGACAAAGGTCAAAGCAAAAGTTGTGGACAACAGCATCATCAGGAAGAAGCTGCGCTGGTTCGATGGGGTACAAGTGGAAGAAGAGAACAAGAAACCAGTGAGAGTAGCCTCCACTTTTGATTTCCCCCAGTCGAAGAAAAACTCTGAGGACCTACAGCTATGTCTCACAGCAGTCTCTGGGGCTTACAAGGCTGGACCCAGCATGACCTCTCCAGTCTCTTCTGGTTATCACCTTACAAAGAAAGCGTGGACAGATGTCGGGGTTCAAGTCAGCTTAGCCCAGCCTAGCACAGACGAGGTCAAGGTGCAACATTGCACAACAGTTCTGAGGGCCAGAACTGTTGGTCCTCAAGAGTTGGAGAGAGAATGCTCCACAAGAGCTGTGGTGGGTTCTGTTTCTGCAAAGACCAGAAAGGGCACCATCATACGACCTCAATCTGCCATCGAGGTGAATCAGATTGCCAAAACCCAAAGGAAGCTCATGGTGCCCCACCCACCTCCTCGGACAGAGGCCGTGAAAGAAAAGAAGGCCGACGTCAACAGGACCGCATGTTGTGTGAATCACGATAGTGTCAACGGTAAACAAGCACTAGCTGAAGAGCAGATCCAACAAAGAGACACCTCATTATGCACACATCACCTAACCGGAACACATAGTACTGTTATGTACACACCTCTGCCGCCCTCACTTACACATCCCAGCATTGAGGCCACCACAAAGGGCAAGATCAGCTCAGGTCATCTGAACACCCGAGGCTGCAGAAGGAGTGGGGCAGGGTTTAATGAAAAAGGCCTCTGTTTGGATTCCACCCCCACAGATGAGGAGATCTCACAGCTCTGGCACAGTATCCGTAGTGTCTTTGCCACCAAGGAAGGTAAGGAGTGTCTTGGCAAGTACAGTTTCTGCTCCACCTAGCTCAGGCTTCAAAAGCAAATCATTTAATGGCTTACCAGGTCACATATACATATATGTCTGTTATAGTATGTTTTATTACATGGCAGTAATGAAGTGACTGACATTCAGCTACAGTGTGCAACTTACCCACTAGATGGCACTAAATACAACTCACTGCAGGCCCTGTTTTATTTGTGCCTACACAGAAAACACATTTTCAAACATACACTGGGAATCCCTCCAGGTGGTTGAATAATACATTCAAGGTAAAGATGCCATCACTTTATCTATAAAATATTGGAAAAGTTGAAAATTGGTAACTTGTTACCTGATACATAACTCAGTCTTAACTGAAGTAGGATCTACTGAGTGATCTGCACGTGACTCTCTCCTTACATAGTTGTACTAAAAACCTTCCACATTGCTTTACAACAGAATTCTGTTGGTCAGGGTTTACACCCACATGATCTACAGCTCTTTCTTTGACGCTTTGAGATAACCACAATTGTGTATATATATAATTGTGTGTATATATATGTATACATATAATTGTATATGTATAATATATATATATATATATAATATATATTTAACCACAAAAATGGACATAGCTAAGTATTTTAAGGCAAATGAGGGCATTTTTAGTCATTTTTGAGAAACTTTTTTTTTGGAGATTACTTCAGGAATTTATTGGTATAGGATGTTGCTGTGATCAAAAGTTTGCGTACCCAAAAAATATTTTTTTTCTGAATTTTAACCACAAAAATTGACATAGCTAAGTATTTTAAGGCAAATGAGGGCATTTTTAGTCATTTTTGAGAAACTTTTTTTTTCGGAGATTTCTTCAGGAATTTATTGGTATAGGATGTTGCTGTGATCAAAAGTTGGCGTACCCAAAAAATATTTTTTTTCTGAATTTTAACCACAAAAATGGACATAGCTAAGTATTTTAAGGCAAATGAGTGCATTTTTAGTCATTTTTGAGAAACTTTTTTTTCGGAGATTACTTCAGGAATTTATTGGTATAGGATGTTGCTGTGATCAAAAGTTTGCGTACCCAAAAAATATTTTTTTTCTGAATTTTAACCACAAAAATGGACATAGCTAAGTATTTTAAGGCAAATGAGTGCATTTTTAGTCATTTTTGAGAAAAAAAAATTGCCGGAGATTTCTTTAGGAATTTATTAGTATAGGATGTTGCTGTGATCAAAAGTTGTCGTACCCAAAAAGTATATTTTTTCTGGTTTTTAACCACAAAAATGGACGTAGCTAAGTATTTTAAGGCAAATGAGTGCATTTTTAGTCATTTTTGAGAAAAAAAAATTGCCGGAGATTTCTTTAGGAATTTATTAGTATAGGATGTTGCTGTGATCAAAAGTTGTCGTACCCAAAAAGTATATTTTTTCTGGTTTTTAACCACAAAAATTGACATAGCTAAGTATTTTAAGGCAAATGAGTGCATTTTTAGTCATTTTTGAGAAAAAAAAATTGCCGGAGATTTCTTTAGGAATTTATTAGTATAGGATGTTGCTGTGATCAAAAGTTTGCGTACCCAAAAAATATTTTTTTTCTGAATTTTAACCACAAAAATTGACATAGCTAAGTATTTTAAGGCAAATGAGTGCATTTTTAGTCATTTTTGAGAAAAAAAAATTGCCGGAGATTTCTTTAGGAATTTATTAGTATAGGATGTTGCTGTGATCAAAAGTTGACGTACCCAAAAAGTATATTTTTTCTGGTTTTTAACCACAAAAATTGACATAGCTAAGTATTTTAAGGCAAATGAGGGCATTTTTAGTCATTTTTGAGAAAAAAAAATTGCCGGAGATTTCTTTAGGAATTTATTAGTATAGGATGTTGCTGTGATCAAAAGTTGGCGTACCCAAAAAATATTTTTTTTCTGAATTTTAACCACAAAAATGGACATAGCTAAGTATTTTAAGGCAAATGAGTGCATTTTTAGTCATTTTTGAGAAAAAAAAATTGCCGGAGATTTCTTTAGGAATTTATTAGTATAGGATGTTGCTGTGATCAAAAGTTGACGTACCCAAAAAGTATATTTTTTCTGGTTTTTAACCAGAGACTCCGGATAGCGTCTCCGGATGGATGGCGTGTCGACCCGGGAAACCATTGGTCGACATTTATTCAAAACTTGGTCGACGGGTGTCCGGACCGGGTCGACCCTTGATCGACCTTTTAGTCGAAACTTGGTCGA